TGTGGGTCAACTCTGAGAACCACAGGCAGCACTGTTGGTCGAACAACAGGGTTCCTTGGGCTGGATCTTTGACACCTCTGTTCTCTGGACTGTTATCTAGATGTTGAGTATTTAGAAAATACTCAACATGACCAGGCAAAGATTAAATTCATGCATGAAAAGCGTCAGATTAAACTGAACTTGTAATGTACTTCATGATCCAACGCAGATATGATTATGCAGTGTGTTTCAGGAAGAAATTTAGTCAATGGCTTGAAACCAACACGTAAATGTAGAGCGTTCCAAGCACAGAGACTAGCAGCATGAGAAATTAAGATGAAAGGTATTAAGGAAAAACAGATATCACAAGGATATCATAATTTAAAGCCTTGAAACAAAAGATGAAAAGCTTAAATTAATATCAAAGAGGGAAAGAAACAGATGTTATTCAAGCAGTTGACTATTTTATATAGCTTTTAGGGTCTGTTATTTATTATTCATATTATGTGGTATCTAGGAGCCTCAGTCAAAATTAAGGTTCCACTGAGCTGGCCTTGCACAAAGTATATTAATGTCTCCAGCCCAAGAGTGTATTCTTTGAAAGAGAGGCATTTCATTTTGCACAAATGTAAGTACACTTAGCAAGCTACACTCAACTATCATACCTTTTTACGTTCTAAGTAGGCTGCTAAAAACAAAACTTTGCTGAAATGCGACTTTCATGAAAACTCTATTCATTACTCTAGTAGAAAAATTATATACATTAATGTGACCTGCCATATAAACTAAAATGGCTCATCTCAAATTAATATAAATGAGGCTTAAATACATCTATATTAGAAACTTGGACTTTTGTTGCCATCTCAATTTACTTCATTTCGTTTCATCAGTAACATGTTCTGAGCCCATCCTCCTTTTTTTTTTAAAGAGACCTCTATTCCACAAAGGCTAAAAGAAACACTTTCACCATGCTACTGTGACTCCCTATGCTAGCATCTAGCACGAGGACTTCACAAGCACGTCTAAGCCCAGCTGACTAGATCCAGAACCGACTGCTTGCAACAGCAGTCTCTCACAATTTGTCACAAGAGTTTCCACTCTTTACTACAGCCACCAGTACCAGTACAGAACCACACTAACTGTATAAAATTCTACCATTAACTAATTTACATAGAATGTAGCCTTTAAATATTGAACATAGTTAATTAAGTGCAGCTTCTTTTCAATGTTTATTTTTTAATCCTGGAAGCACCTTTTCTCCAGTTTGGGATTCCACTTGACACTTCATGAAAACAACTAATAGTGACATTTTAGATTAGTGAACTTACATGTTTCAGGTCAACCTGCAGACTGCTGCAAAAATGTTTTGATTAGGGGCATGACTTTTTTACTTAAATAGTTATGCCAGTTGAAAAATTAATGTGCATTTTTATACTAATAGCGATTATTCCCTTTCCAGTATGGGAACACCTGTACCACTAGAAAGCATTTTTAACCAAACAGTGAACACAAGCTGAGTTTTAAAGAGACTTGTATCATCTAATTCATTCTAACAAAGAATTTTGACAAATTTTAACTCGTAAGAGAAAATACTGAAAAATGGTGATTCAGAATACATAACATTTCACTAGGTTGTGCCCAACCTATTTCACTAGGTAATGTGCATAGCTATAGTTAAGGAAAATAATTTGTGGTTTGCTGGTGTGCAAATAAAAGGCAACCCCTTCATATTTTGGGCCAAGCTACCACTAAGAAAATGGTTTAATAAAGACAAATTTTTAGTCTCAGAAATTATTTTAAGAACGGGTAAAATATTTAGGCTTATAGTCTCTATCATAAAAATTATAGAAACAGCATAAAGCAGCTACTTGATATGCTCTAGTAGATGTGCACAAGACAAGAAACTGACTTTCTCTGAAGCTATAATAAAACTAAGTGTGGAATTCTGTTTTCCTGTGCGCATCTAAATGTCAGTTTTCTAGTTGTCAAAGTTGCGTTTTGGCACCTGTGCAAAGATCATGATTCTATTACTTTTGTAGTGTGGATGTGTAAGTATGCATGCGTAGACTGAACATGCATGATGAACTACACTGGTCAGGAAGGTATGCAGCGATGTATATGCACACGTCCCAGAAAAACCATGGCGGTGGGGGGGAAGGCTTCTATGTTTTAGCCTTAAGAATTGAGTAGCTAGGACACTTTCCCTGCAAGCCAGGAATCCAGGGCATCTTTACACATGCTACATGGTGGGATTGAGGGGGAGCACTTTAGTTAGACTGGCACTCAGAGAGCCGCTCTAATTGAAGTACCCACAGCATCATGCGTATTCAGTGTCTTATGCTTGAAGACGGCAGCAGGGGTGCTTTAAAGTTTGTTTGATGAGCTTTAGTTAAAGTGCCCCTGTTGCCATTTTGAAGCACAGGGACACTGAATACATGTGATACGGAGGCTGCTGGAGAGTGTTAATTAGCACCCTCCAGCAAGCTTGATTAATCTCAATTAATTGAGCCTGCTCTGCCGTGTGCTAATTAGCATCTGGTAGAGCAGACATCTGACCTGTTTATAGGTGTCCCCAGGTCCTAAGCCCACCTTACTAAAAGGGGCTTGCAGTTAGCTCCATCTTTCCAGCACAGTGCTCTAACTACCAAACTACAAGTTGGGTATTATTCAGTCCCCTCTCCAGACCTCTTGACCTGGAGCTACTGCTGCTTGCGCTTAATAGTCACAAGACAAAAAATTTCCCAGCCCCATTTCTCTCTCTCCACTACGTAGGGAGCCAACTTTAAAAGGAGTGCAGAAAGTCAGAGATGCAGATTCATATCTCTTCTGGGTGAGTGGGTCCTTGAATCTGAATCTCTAGTTCCTTGGGGGAATGCCCAAACTACTCAACTGCTGGGCTAAAATGGGGCATGGTTTCCCTTCTCCACAACTGTCCCCCCCCACCCAGCTAGTGCATAGGCTGAGCATGCACCATAGGCTAAGTGCACAAGGTTACACATTCACAGTCCAAGGGAAACAGAACTACAATGTGGGCATAAGTACCAAAAATGCCACTTACAAGGATAAAAAAACTGCCATTTAGATGCACTAAGGAAAACAGTATTCCAATCCAATTGTTAAATTTACTTCCTAAAGCAAAGATAGCCAAAATGAAATTTGCTACTGTCATTTAAATGGGCTATTAAGTAGTATGCAAGAGGTAAGGATTTTTCCACAGCTGGTCCAATAAAAGATTGGTATCTTTTGTTGGACCAACTGCATAGTTAGGATAGAGCTAGGCAAGCTTTCAAATGCAAGATGTTCATCAGGTCTTTCTTATGTTTCTTGCATGGGCTTAGAAAGATTTTGCCGTGTAGTCTAGTTTCTTTTTTCTTTAAGTTGTGGAATTTCCATTGTAAGATGTGGATTGTGATATCTTGGATGTTATGGTATTGCTAGAGTGATGTTGTAGTTGAGTGGTTCAGGAATTAGAGGGGCAAGGACTTCTTAGGGTGATCTTTTGTTGGATCAACTGCACAGTTGGGATACAGCCAGACAATTCACTTGTGTTACTCTATCCCAGCTATGCAGTTGGTCCAATAAAAGGCAGCACCCTAAGAAATGCTTACCTCTTGCATACTCCTAGATCATCATGGCTACAGCATAACTAATACTATTAAGAAATACAAATTAAGTCAATATCCTTTCTAATTCTTTAGGACTTATAAAAGGTGGCTTGAAAGGCTTTAACTGATAAATCTCATCTATTTTTGTGAAGAATAACAAACTGGTAAACTATGAGGATGAGTCACTAGTAAGGAGGAAGTATGCTTGAAACATTTCCTCTCAGGATTTAACAAACTCTTTGGATATAGTAACAGCAGTTGTAAGGGCAAGAACTATTACAAATTCAATAAAATAGCACCTTGAATAAGGGGTAAGAAAATCCCCAATCCAGTTTTTGGCACTTCTATAGTGGGAGACAGCATGGTCCAAAGGGGGAAGGGGGGAGCAGACTTAGGTCCCACTGTTTACTCTATATGGACCATGGTTTTCAGTTTCCTCATATATAGAATGTGAGTAATATTTTCCATTTTAGTAAGCGTTTTCAGACTCAGATGAAACATCATATTAAGTTTCAAGTCAACTCCATAGTCCTTAACCTGTTAAATAAAGTCCTCCATCAAAACAAAACACAAACAAACGAAAGCAACATTCAAGGCACTTGCTATTTCTAAAATAAAATTTTAGAATATGAAGTTGGGTCTTCTTTATACAGGATAAAGTAGGCAAAAGGCACAAAAACCATTTTTTACTTTTACACTTTCCACTCAGCGACATCTGAGTGTTTTACAAATATTAATGAACAGGACTCATCACATTTCTGCCAAGTAAGCAGTCCATTCTATGGGTAGGAAAACAGGCACATAATGATTAAGTGGCTTACCACTGTGGCAAAGCCAGGAACAGAATTTGGATCTCCTTACACTTTGTCCTGTGTTTTAACTCCAAAACTACTCCTTCTTCCCTCATACTGGTTCTGGGAAAATTTTCAAAGTACCTACAAGACTTACGGGTACAAGTTCCATTTTTTTCAAATTGAGATAGTGCTCATCTAACTTCTGAAAACTTATTCAGATTACTTTACAAAAGTTATTCCTCAACAACCTTGTATGTGGACATTTTTCCTTTTAAGTTTAAGCCACCTTCAAGAACCTGAACACCACAGTTACTTTGTTATAAAGTGTCCATACAATTATACCTGCAGAACTCCAGGTACCACAAGCTTCAAAACTCCCAAATATCTGCAACATTTTTTAAAATTGAACTCTGGGTCCTAAATCATAAAAGCACTTGGAATATTCTATCCTAAACATGGTCCATTATTCAGAGAGTGGGCTTTTTAATATAACAGCAAAAAAGTAGTTAAAACATTCTAGTAAGTCTATTTGATAAACCTGTAAATACTTGCTATTATTTCTGTAACCTTAATTGTACTTTCACCTGGACACACAAAGGTTCTCTTTAGCAACACATCTTACCTGCTGAATCTTCCAAATCAATCAGTTTGGGCATTAAACTTTCAGGTAGTTTTTCAGGCAAGTCATAGCCATTCTTCCTAGCAACTACCAGATGAAAAGCAGCACAGAACTCATCCAGTGTCAATGCGCCATCTTTATCAAAATCTGACAGTTCCCTAGAAGGAAAACTTACTATAAATAAAATCAAATTCCTCTCTGGGCCATTTTAAGTGTATGCACTTTTGTTCCCATCTGGAGGACCATTAAATGCTTATGTTTTATAGGTCCATTTACCATGTTTGTACTTCACATACCTACAGTACTAGGCACTGAATGTTCTTTAACAAAAATAAGCCCTTATTAATGACATGGCTAAAAGTTAATGACTAGGCTTAACTCATTTACACTTACATTGCCTATGCCTTTAGTTCTCTCTGTCTGTTTCCAGCTGTTCTGCACAATGCTATTAGCACCAAGCAAGAGGCAGAGTATACAGAAGCAATTTTGTTCAGCTTCTATGTACCACAGGTACGTGGCAATTGAAATATTTCATTTAACGGGGAAAGTTATAAACTGGAATCCAAAATTTAATTTGTCTGAACAATTATGAAGGAGACCAAATCTGTTCCAGACAAGTCATTTAAATGATCATGTCTAACAGTGTGGCAATCATTCCAGGTTGAAATGAAGGGTAAGCATTGTGTTTAAGTCAGTAGGACTTTTATCACAAATTTACCCAGAAGCATGTGTAACCAAATGAAACATGCATAAGCAATTTCTACCTTAATCCATGCGATTTCAAACCAGATATTTAGTTGTGTGAACACTTAATACTGTTCTGTCAACTCTAGTTCTATGGTAAGAAGGGATACAGTCCCAGAATAACATTGAAATCCATGGAAAATGCAAAATCTGTCTTAAACTGGAATAGGATTGAGCCTCATAGCAGTAATGTTTGGTATGAGTGACCTTTTTTTTAAAAGGAGGAGAAAAAGACCTGTCAGAGTTCAGGTCTAACTAACATGAAACAGATCGTGGTTCTTCAAAATAGCCACCTCCACTAGTGACACTTCACACTTACCAAATGTGAGAAAGTTCAAGAATAGGTAGTTTTGATTTGGTAAAAAATTCTTTAGCTGCAGACCCTGGAATATTAAAACAGTTTTGTTTAATATTTATTCCATCCTTATAGAACTAAAGATCTCAAATTATATAATAAAATCAATTAAAATAAGAGAACTGTACTAATTAAAGGAGTTAAGCTTGCATACAAATCAAGTTCAAGATCCAGTTTTTAAATCCACTGGAGTTGTGCTGTACCAAAAATTTAGTAAATTCAGGGCCTTCTTACAAAACAATACATAAATCCATATCCACCAAGAAGTTACCTTTATAAATACAGAACTGCCGTACCTATTATTGTTTTAAAGAACTCACCTGGAATAAATCCATTTAGATCAGGTTGAATGGTTTTAAACTGATTTACATAATACTGCCTTTGTTCATCAGTTATTTTCCAGGGATCATCATAACTACTCGATTGCCTACGAATTTCATTTGCAGTTGTAGCTGATGCTACAGTTCGTACTGTTGTCTGATCCTGTAACGAAACATTTTTTCCTCAGTATTATCTATCTAAAATGACAAATGGATTGCCATTATTTCTAAACTACTTGCCTTCCAAAAATTAAAACATGGTTATATGCTGCAGAAACTGTATGTTGCAAGAAGCTGTTGGCAGATTGCATATTTAGAACTATTAAGCTAGATGCGTTTTCCACACAAATGAGTAGAAGTGGCTACAGATATGTAAGCAAAAAAAAGGTATGGAGGTCTATGCAGAGAAAGCTAAGCACAAATACTCCTGATTTAAATTTTTTTTTGAAGTTTAGTTCTTCAAAAGTTACCAAATTTTCAATTAAAGTTTTCCTAGGTAAAAAGAGTTAGCATGTAACTCAACGAAACCAAGAAGTATTTGTTATAGGTAAATAGGAAAGAGAACAGATTTCTTATCTCCACATAGTGAATATGAACCACAGCATGAGTCCGCAGTGAAAGTATGGAAAAGATGGATTGCAACACTAATTTGAATGAAGCAAATCAAATGAATACCAATAAAATGTCACACCTGGACAGAAGCAGGATGCATGGCTAAAAGAGTACTGGTTGGTGGGGTATCTGCAAAACTGACCCAGTTTTCTTGATGTGGGGGTGGAGAATGGCCAGACCATATGGGATCACCAGCAGCAGATGAGCCTGAAAGCAGAAGAAACAGTCCCCTTTCAAAACATAACCTGAGAAAATTAAAGAAAGACTCTGGGTGGAAAAAACGGCCATAGCAGATTGTGACACAAGTGGTCTTCCTAAGGGAGTACATGTTTACAGAACTGCAGAAATAATTACAAAATAAAAGTTGTAAGGTGAAACAAATTCAGATCTATTTTCTACTGCATGGGTGCAGAATTGTTCCATCCAGTCCACAAGGATGCTGGGGGGTCAGGGAACATAGGGGGCAGGGCCTGCCATGGACTCCAGGCCCAGGGTCCTGCTGGATATGACCCTTGGCAGCAGGAGCAAGGGTGAGTAAGAGTGGTCCTGTCACTGCCCCACCCATCCTGTGTCATTCAGTTGCTTGCCCCACTGCCTCCATCACTGGCCCTTGCTACTTCCACCTCCAGCCCTCCTGCTGCCAGGCCCACTGCTTGCTCATGGATCCAGCCTATGAGGAGCCTTGGAGTCTGGGGCATGGGGAGAGTTTATCACCTCTACCCTACTGCATTAGTAGTTACCTTTCCTTAGACAGTACTATTTTAAACTGCAAAGTATACAAAAAAGAAAAGGGAAAAAAAAAGGAAGTGATAGTTTACTCTGTATGGTGGTTATAAATGTTAAAAATAAATCTGTTCAAAGCACGTTGAACCGATCAGAACTACAAATGGAACTGCGCCACAGTTTCTCTCCAAAGAAAATTCAGATGAAAAACCTCAGTACTGATAGGGCAAGAAATGGATGTGGTTATTTAGAGCCATCACGTGGTATTGATGCAATTCAAATACACCGTGCCTTCAATTTTTCCTAATGGTTTGTTTTGTAATTCAAGCTACGCAGTTACCTTTTGTTTGAGAATTAATTTTCTTGGAATGTATCATTTTATCTTAAATGAACTTGAAAGCCTGCTAGGAAAATGTTACCGTCTCAGAATGATGCAAGTACTACTGATGAACACATGAAGTCTGCACACATAAACATGAGGGCTAAGAAGATTACCTGAAACCACACTGTTTTTGAGAAATGGATTCTATTAAGCAAACTGATTTAACAGAGTTGAATTATTTGCTTAAATGTATAGGAAAATGTGACGCCCGTATGACTTATTGCCAAGTATGAATGACTCAAGTGTCTCTAAAGCTGTAATCAAATGAAAAAATGAAAAAGTAAAAAAATCCAGATGGTCCTAGTAAGGTATTCAGATAGAGAAGCCTTTAAAAAGTATGGAAGACTTAAAGGCCCCTGGTTACAGGCCTCAATTTCTTGCATCACATATAGAAAGCTTAAGTCTTGGAAGCCCAGCCAACAGGTGTGAAATAGCTGCCCTGTAGAATGTAAAACTGAATGAAAATGGTTTAGTGCATTTGTAAAAGCAAATGCAGTTTTCTGAGGCATGCCAAGCAGAATTGTTAAGGTCTCCAAACGTACTACTTATAAGAACATTTCTACCTTGCACATCCAGTACCAGATGGAAGTAGTGGATTCATAACTCACTACTATGCGACTTTTCAGTATACAATTGAGGCCTACATTGCACATGCAAAGAAAGGAAAGAACACTGACTACACCACAGTCTATCAACTTTTCAGTTCACATCCAATACTTCTTTATGCATAAATCTGATAATTAATTATCAATAGTAAACAGAGTGGAAAAAAAGAACTAAATCAGGGTAACAAACTGAATAAATGTTAAAGGAAAAAATATCACTTTTTTTTAAATTGTTACTATTACTATTATGCAGAATTACTATATAAATGAAACTGTTTCAAACAACTGTCCCTTCATCCAGGGCTATTTCTGGAGCACTTCATAGGGTACACATGTATGTCTACTAACCTTTTGAAGAACTTAAAAGGCACCTGAAGCACTGCACATGTTTTGTCTGTCCAGGCCCTGGGAGAGGTTTTCAGCTACAGGTTTCCCTTAATTTAGGTTCTGTATGTGTGAATTCACTCTTATGCAACAACACTTTTTATACCAAAAATTAGTTATATGGGAGGTAAATTCACTCTTATGCGACTGGCGTGGTAGAAGCCCACAGTCAGCTGCTTTGTGCGGTACACTGTGAGAGTGACACACACCAAAATACAGTCTCCTGTGTGGATCTGTGCTCATTGCTTTTTGCGACATGTTTCTGTAGTTGCCATCCCCATTATGATAGTGCCCTGTGGTTGTTTGTACTGTGCTGTTAATGAGTACCAAAATTGTCTTGTAAATGTGGTAGAAATGGGTCTGGGGGGGTCAGTACAGTCAAGGTCTTGGAACGTATCCCTATTTGTTACATTGTAGAGTGGGTTCCCTTTATGTGAATTTGAGTTATGCACCATTTTCCAGGAATGCACGTGCAGCATATAGTGAGGGAAACCTGTATTGTAGTTAGGAGTTCACTGCATTAGTGACTGAGGGCATTTCTACACGTCCTCTGATGTGTCCCGATTAGAACGCATCAGAGAAGACTTGATTAAATCGAGTCTGTGGGAGCGTTGTAATTGGAATGCTCCAGCCTGCTGCACCATCTCATGTACTCAGCATCCCTACATTATCTAATTCAAAGGCCTCATCCCTGCATTATAAGATTTACAGTAAATTTTTAAACGAGTTTGTCAGTAGCAACTCTCTCATAGCTCTGTTTCCTTTATGCTGGGATTCTGCAAGCTTCAGCTTCAAGCATTACATTATCTGCTCACGCTGGAAAAGTGATTCAGTGTTCCCTTTACTACCACCGCAGGACTGAAGTGTCAAGCAGCTAATTGAAATAATGCCTTTTTGCTTGGAAGGATTTTTTTTTTTTTAGTCTGAACCCTTGCCAGAATTCTACTTTTATCTGACCTGATTTCTTACATGAAACAGGAAATACAAATTTTCAAATATCAACCAAACTTCTTTTAGTCTTCTATAAAAGTTCAGCAAATATGGGTGGCTTTTTCCCTTTTCACACCTAAATCAAAACTACACATTACAGTGAACTGTAGGATCTGCACTGCTACACTAAACAGTGCTCTTCTGTTTTCTCAGTTGAATATATAAACAATGAAATACTCCAAACATCCTGTACCAGGGATGTAAATATCCTTTAAAAAAAATATTCATTTAACCTCCTCCAATTATAACTGTTGTTAAATAATTAATGGATAACATAGCAGCTCTGACATAGCTGCTGCTGGGAGCCGTTCCTAGCTCCCAAAGCTCTTTGATTGCCAGGAGGAGGAGAGAAGATAAGCCTATCCAGAGAACACAGCTCACATGAAGCCCTACTTGGGAGGGAAGGAGCACCCAAGTGCTTAAGTGATGAGTCATTAGGCTTCTCTCTGCTTTCCCCTTAGGCTATGGGTACTAGTCCCCCTCCTCACTGCCTGACCAGGGAGGTAAAGGAGGGTAGGGTAAAAAAGTTGCTCTGGGACTATTCAGGTCAGGCAGAGAGGAGGCTCCATCAGGCTTCTTCCCTGAAGGTGTCAGATGTCAGGCACGGAGTTGAAACCTATATCCCTAATAGTGCTCAAGGTTTTTTGAAGATTTAATCTACACTGTATTCTTAACTTCTATTCTGAAATTTCCAAATAAAGTAATTTTTCATGGGTTTTTAGGTGAAGAGAAATTATGCATGTCAGTTAAACTCTGATCTTTTAAAGTTTAGTCAGAATGAACTTGCCACATACCTCCTAAACTCTGGCTTTGACTGAATAAGGAACTGTTCATAGTTTCAGGTAAACTGAATTATTTTGCAGGTATGTTGCTCAGAGAACTCAGTAGTGGTATGGACTGTAGGGCTTTTTGCCTTCTTCTATAATGGGGGTGTGGCCCTTTTCTTGGGATCATAGAATCACAGAAGCAGGGTCAGAAGGGACCTTGTAGTTCTTCAAGTCCAACGCCCTGCCTGGGCAGGAGAAAAAAACTGGGCTCAGATGATCCCAGCTAGGTAGGCATCAAGCCTCTGCTTAAAGACCTCCAGGGTAGGAGCCAGCACCACTTCCCTTGGAAGTTGGTTCCAGATCCTAGCCGCCCTGACTGTGAAGTAGTTCTCACGGATGTCTAATCTAAACCTATTCTCCAACAACTTGTGGCCGTTATTCCTTGCTATGCCAGGGGGTGCAAGGGGAAACAAGGTCTCTCCCAGACCCTTCTGGTCCCCCTTAGTGAGTTTACAGATGGTCACCAGGTCCCCCCTCAGCCTTCTCTTGTGAAGGCTGAAAAGGTTCAGGTCCCACAGTCTCTCGTTGTAGGGTCTGCCCTGTTGTCCCCAGATCATGTGGGTGGCCCTCCTCTGGACCCTCCCAAAGTTGTCCACATCCCGCCTGAAGTGGGGTGCACAGAACTGGACACAGTACTCCAGCTGTGGCCTGACCAGTGTTGCATAGAGGGGGAGAATCACCTCCTTGTCCCTGCTAGAGATGCACCTGTGGATACACGACAAGGTTTGGTTTAGCCCTTCCAACCGTGACCTCACATTGTCGGCCCACGTTCATCTTGGAGTCAGTAATGACTCTAAGATCCCTTTCTGCCTCCGTACTCTCTAAAAGGGAGTTACCCATCTTATAAGTGTGCTGCTGGTTACTACTGCCCAAGTGCAGCACCCTGCATTTGTCAGTATTGAAGCACATCCTGTTTTTGCTAGCCCACCCCTGTAACCTATCCA